ATTCAAAATTCAGTCATTTGCCGACGACGTGAAGAAGGTAGAAAAAGTGGGGAAAATCTCTGGCACTGCACCATCGCGGGCACTGGGGTTGCAAAAAGTAGTACCACCTTCATCCAAAAACAAAAAGAAAGCACCCACCACCACCTCTATGACCATCCCTATCACAGCCTCTTTTGTAACCAGCAGTGACAAAAAAATATTAGAAGCTTCTTTTGCAAATCGCGACATGGGTGTAGAATCTGCAAATTGTAAGCAGAATTGGTATTCCTTTTTTAAAATCTCAAAAGCAAAATACTACATTTCTTGAACAAGACGAGGAGAGATTTTCAAGCCGAATACTTGGTTGGGAAGATGAAAAAAAAGTAGATAACATTTGGTCTAAGACTCCAAATAATTGGTTTTTTATGAAATGGATTGTTTTATTGAATAAAATTTGAACAATTTTTGCTAATTCGGCAAATAAACTTGGGAAAATTACAGCCACGGTACCAAATCTTTCACATTTTTGCAGATTTTGTCAAAACCTTTGTTTTGTGTCACCCACGGTACCAAACCTTTAAACAATTCACACCTAGAGTCCAAATGGACGATTTTAGTCCAGTTGACAAGATTTTGACCGATTTTGACAAAATTAAAAGGGGTAAAATGGTAACTTTGCCATCTATCTATTAAAACAATTAAAAGAAAGTCAGAAAAAGAAAAAACTCTCTTCTCTCTTCCTCGTTGTCTCCGCCTCCACACAGGGCCGAGATTCCGATTCGCCATCGGATAAGCCCAACTTGAGATTTCGGTCTCTGATTCTGGGGAAAATATGGTGTCTGGTACTGGTGTTTGTTGGGACTTTTGTAGGGGGAATTTCGCCTTACTTCATTAAGTGGAACGAGGGTTTTTTGGTAAGTGGGAAGCAATTCGCTAGTGAGGTTTTTCTGGGGACTGCTTTGATGCATTTCTTGAGCGATTCTAATGAGACATTTGGGGACTTGACTGAAAAAGAATACCCATTTGCATTTACGTTGGCAAGTGCTGGAGGCCTTGGCAGCAGGGATGAGTGGGCTGAATTTCAAGGAGACTGGTGATGATGATGGGTTTCAGTATCATCGTGATTTAAGTTCCATTTTTGGGTGTCGAACGTGATTTTCTTCATTTGTGATTTAAGGTGGTGGTGGCAACAGCGGCTACGGGAGGAGGCGGCAGCGGCGGCGACGTGCAGACAGTGGTGCTTGCAACGTGTCAGCATTGTTGATGCCGGGCAGGAAGGAAAAACTGATTGCAATTTTTCCTTTTTTATTTTTTATTTTTTAATTTATTTAATAAGAAAATTGTTAAGTTACCATTTTACCCCTCCTAATTTTGTCAAAATTGGTCAAAATTTACTATTCTTAGTCACATAATGGTCAATTGGACGGAAACCGTCAATTTGGTCTCCAGGTGGGAATTGTTTAAAAGTTTGGTACCGTGGGTGGCACAAAACAAAGGTTTGGGCAGTCTGCAAAAATGTGAAAGGTTTGGTACCATGGCTGTAATTTTCCGAATAAACTTTTGAAGTTATATTGCCAATTTGTGTGCAATTTTAGGTGTCGTTTGGATTTTTGAGAATTGGTGAAGTAAAGGTTGAAATGGTGGTTGTGGCAGATGGCAATTGCTGGGCAGGTGGGAAGTTCATGTGTTCATTCTCCAGTTCAGGAAATCAACAGAAATAGAAGATTTGTATTTCGATGGTGGGCAGTAGTGACGGAGATGGGGACGGAGTGTGCAAGTGTGTGGGCGGGTGGTTTCACAGCTGGTGTGTGGCAGGTGATGGGTTCGGGCAGGAAAAGCCGGTGGAGAGTGTGGATAAGTCTCATCACTGCTAACGGGGTGGAGGAATTGTCAGACTGGTTTGGAGTTCTCTTCGAAATTTGACTTCGTTTCTTCATTTTTTTTTTTTTTTAAGTTATTAAATTAAGGGAAGGATAGTGATTTTAATCAAAAAATTGATCCTGTAACGGTCAAAATGACAATTTTCATCTAAAAAAGTTGCCGGTTGCAAACGTTTTAAAGGTCCAGGATTCCAAGTGCTATTTATGTTTTTCTTCTTCTGACCTTTTAATTTTTCTTGTCTCCGCTCTCTCGGGGATTTAATATTTCAGATCTTTGATCTTTATGGAACTATTTAAAAGGCTGAACATTTTGTATATATCTCTAGATCATAATTACCACCAACAGGAAACTAACGGCTAATGGAAGAATAGTTAATTATCACTGTGCATCCTCAAATTATTCTCAGTTTGTCAATAATCTCGCACCTAAACATTGTCTTTTACAATTCTAACAAGCCACCTAATTGATAATCATTTACATGGAAGGGAAATATTAGAAAATGTCACAAGCTTTGGAATTAATATTTCTCCAATTCAAATCCTCCAAAAGGCACAATTTTTGATATACATTGAAGGGAAGAACTTACTTGGTAATAGCTCGCCTGGCTTTCCAGAAATGTTTCTGGCCTATTTTTCCTACGACATCATCAGGAGATATATCCAGTCCAGATAAAGAATCCACCATAGAAGTCTCAGACATGCTATCGACCCTGTCAATATTTCCCATTTGGGGCGACCTACATGAACCTTTTTCATGAGAAGTCGTATCATCACTCAAATCATGAATAACATCTTGCTCTTCTAATGGGAAATCCCCGAATGAAGAAGAATGTCTATTATTTATGCCGAAACTAGAATCCCTCATAACAGCATTACTGTGGACAGAGCCTGCAGGTTGTGACTCGGCACACAACTCCGGAATTATATTATTATCAACCTTTTGTAATCTGTCGATACTATTAGCTGGATTATCTCTTGGTTCATCAGACTGAGACGCATCAATTTGTTTCCTCAAACCTTCAGTTTTATTTAGTGATGATAAATTTAAGCGGGCTTTATCTATTTGCTCCTGAGAAGCCACAAAATCTCTCGTATTCACTTCTTTGAGGCATTTTCCTTCTTGATTGCAACTTCCTACAGCCATGCCAGTCTGTTTTAGATCTTTATCAGCCACTTTTGGAAATTTCAATGTGTAATTGGTATCAGCACAGTTGGAGGGAGAGAATTTTTTTGTGTCCAAATCACTAAAATATTTACCATGATCTTGATTTGAATGGGATTCAGAGAAGATTGGAACTGTAAAATCATCTTCATCTAACTTCTTTTTCTGCTGAACTTGTGTTAACGGGGTACTCAAATTTGAATATTGGCTGTATGACTTCTCAGCTTGATGTCTAGGAGGCAGCTGAAGTGAGAAAAACTTACTCCTTTCCTTCCCAGTCCCCTGAAAGCACAACTACTTAGCAGCAATCACAATTGTAATTCAATTTATAAAGCCAGCAAAGGAAGCTAAGCATAGAGGTGCATGCCATGTCACATTAACTGTACTTTTAAAGGGTTACTTGTTCTGTCTTTCTTCTTTCCTTATCCTTCTGTCTTTCATCAACAAATAATTAAAACCCCAATACATTCATTCCTTTCTAGTACAATATTATGAATACCAAGTTTCAACTTTCAAGGATATCTTTATCTCCTGACTTAAACTTGAATTAACATAAAAAATCAACCTATCAAGAATACAAAATAAAAGCTAAAAGTAAAGCCTAAAAGGAGACTGACAAAATCTGTCCATCAATAAAATATTTTCTTAACCATTTGTTACTACATCGTCCCACGTGCGAGCCACGTTAGAATCAAGGGGTAACCCACACAGTTCTCTGAACCAATATCTTCAAATCGAGGCTACAACCCAACTCACCATAAGAGAAAAGGCTATCTGAAGGGGTTTCATTCCCCAGTGAAACTCCCAGCTAGGTGAAACAAAGCAAGCCTTACCCTCGCCCTAGATACATGACAGTGGCAAACAAGGTTGCCCTGTATAAATTTAAAAGAAAGCTAGCAAAGCACAAAACATGTGACTTCATAATTGTCTCAAATAAAGGATTGGTAGAATATCCTATTGCAACATGGTGGAAGGATCACTGCCACATAAGCTAAAACCATTAAAAAGTTCGAAACAAGAATCGGTTGATTAACAATAACCTTGACAATCAGAAAGTAATTGGTCAAAGTTACATGAGGATGTAAGGTACTAGACTCAAAATCCTCTTCAGTTTGAGAACAACTTGTGTCCAGGAGATACAAAAGGTCTAAAGTGCCTAGAACTAATTTTTCATTTATAAATTACCCATGCAACATAAAGGAAATGGTATGAAAATCAAAACCCTAGCCAAATCTCATTCTATTTTGTTTCTCTTGCACCCAAATTATATTTTCTGGCTCTAACTTGGCCGTCTGGAGTGCAAATGGTGACCGGGCCACCTTGAACGGCTACTTACACAAGCTTATGCTGTTACTTGTGCAGGTTTAGACACAGGTGGACCAGAAATTCTAATTGATAAATCGTGTAACTAAGAACTTATTTCTTTAAAATTTCTTCCATAAAAAAATAAATTCACAGCAAATTAAGAAAACCCAGGACACCAAAATATATGCGAAAAATCGGAATGCTCCACTCACCTGACTTGAAGAAGCAGAAGGCTCTAGGTTAGAAGTGTAGGTAGGGTTGAAGGGCGACACCCCATGACTGAATCTCTGTGAAGGGATGCTGAGCTGCTCATAAAGGGCCATCTTGTTTCTTGGAGGTGCTCTTGGCCCTCCCGTATCAGTATCATTCACATGAAGCCTTGGAAACATTGGTACCATAATTCTGTCCTCATCTTTCCCTCTTTTCATTTTCAAGCTTACTCAATGAACGCCGCCTTTCCTCTAATTCCCAATAGTTTAGTTAAGCGCTATTTTTTTTTAACCTACACTTTCACCAAATTCACATGAAAATCCCATTCCCCCAACATCAAAATCAAATCTTAATATTTCCACACCACATGAAAACTTTCAGCAAATCTATTTAAACAAATCCACTTGTAAAAAAGCTCAAAAATTGAACGAACTCAAGAACCCAGATCAAAATTTTCAATTGAAACTTGAATTAACCCCGGTAAGAGATAACCAAAATACAGCTGTACTACTCGGAAAATTCGATTAAAGACGGAAAATCCACTCATAATAAAGCAGTATCCCCCGAATCAACACAAAATCAATACTTTTCCTCTCGAAATCAACCGATTTCTCGGGAACCCTACAAAACAGAACCTTAAAAAGAGCCTCAACTATCAGTACTTCTCAACAAAAGAAATCGATCCAATGGTGAAATCGGACGGTAAGAAATCCAGATATTCGAGAACTGGGAGAACATAAGAAGATCTTCAATTACTCTTGAATGGAAAAAGATCGAAGAGGTGTGTGAAAAGCGTAAAAAGGTACCCTTTGTGGACCCTATATTTGGATTGGAGAAATTAATAAAATTTTGCAGTTCAAAGTATTGGCTAGATTACTGCATAAACGCTGTAAGATTATTGGTATTTTCTAACTGCACAAATGCCACGCATACGTCTGGAAGATTGTGTATGAGTAATTGGGCACTTACCTTGACCAAAAAGCACTTAAGAGCATGTTTGAGCCCATTTCGTGCCAAAATTACATTCTGAAATTACATTTTGATGAAAAATATATGGCTAAAAAATATAATTATATTTGATGTACATCAAATTTGACAGTCATTCGTCATTTTTTTCTTTTGTAAAAAATAGTTTTACCTCCTACACATTTTTTGAAAACAAAAGAAATGTCTATAATGATGTAAGAGGGGAATGCACAAGTGACAAAATCCTAAAATATAAAGAAAATTTTTGAATTGCGTGTAATATTATTTTATTAAAAAATATATGATTGAAAATAAAATGGAAAAATATATATTTTAAAAATAATGAGAACCAAACCAATGCTAAAATGTATATTGCTTGAAAAACTATTCGAAAATGATAAAAGATTCAAACCAATAGTAAAATATATATTAGGAAAAA